CACAGAACCCTGACCTCAACCCTACTGAACACCTTTGGGATGAATCTAATCAAGGACTATGAGGTTTTCTCACTCAATATGACCCAACACCCAACCTGACCTCAAAAATGCTATTTAGGCTGAGTGGGCAAAAATTCCCACAGACACTCCAAAATCTTGTGGAAAGCCTTCCCAGAAGGGTGGAGGTTATCATATGGTGTAAATACTGTATATATACAGTATATTATATACACAATCTTCTACAGGGGTTATAAAGCAAAGTATTTTATTTATTTACTTATTGCAGGTACTTGTATAGCGCTGTCAATTTACGCAGCACTTTTTATATATATTGCACATTCACATCAGTTTTATTCGAAACACAACATAACATAACCTAAAGTAATTCTGCTAATCCTGGAAATTCTGGAGGCAAGGTCTGAGTGCCTTCTATTTCTATGTTTTGTGTGAAGTTTATCATACAAACAGAATCATCATTCCTGAGTGACATAACTGATTGACATTCATGCCCGTTCACACTGCCTACGGCCAAGTTACAGAGCATAGCACTGATGTGTTTACAGAGAAAGCATGGCTTCTACAAAAATGAGATACTCATGGCACTTTTTAAAATGCATTGAGTTTTTTTTGGCAAAAATAATTAGGAAAAGCTTAAACAGGTCTAATTTTACTAATATGTATTTAAGATGATTTCCAATGTCATACCGTAATTTTTTGTCAGGCTGAAGATCTTATGGGGCTGATTAATAAAAAAAACTAAAGAAAATAACAGATTCACTTTTCTTCTCAGTCTAGTGCATGAATAGGAACATTCTATTTTTCAGTTTTGAATAGAGAACAGACGGATTAGAACCCGTCAAGTTTTTATAGCTACTAGGTAGATTCATCCATGCTATTTGTCCTTATGACCCGATGGTCGATGATAGGAAATCCAAAATTTTAGAGGTGTCCCCGGGACAAGCATGGGGGAAATCTTTCAATATGATCAGCTGCTCCAGTGGCAATTGTCTGAAGCTGGATATACAGGCGTACCTCGGTTTACGAACAATTCCGTTAATGTAATTTGCTGTTTACGAATGAAAATCCATTGAAAATAATGCCTCAGTTTACAAATTTTTTACGCAATACGAAGCAAGTTTCCCCAGGATGCATTGCACCTGGGAGGTTGATAGCGCCAGCCACGTGTCTTTAAAGTGCACTTTATAAAGAGTTTTCAACAGATAAAACTTTTTTTTACTTTTTTCTGACCTCCGGAACGGATTAATTGGTTTTCAATGCATTTATAAATCAATTTTTAATCATGTCCCCGTACAGTATTTATGCCTTTAAAGTGCGCTTTATAAAGAGTTTTGAACAGATAAAATACTTTTTTGTTACTTTTTTCTGTCTTCCGGAATGGATTAATTGGTTTTCAATGCATTTCTATGGGAAACCTCGTTTCTTTTTACAAATTATTCGCAATACAAAATGTCTCGGAGAACGCATTAAATTCGTAAACCCGAGGTACGCTTATTAATATTCACTTTATGGGTGGCCCTGTCGACAGCTGGTCATATTCTATCATTCTCTAGGACCCTGGTGACCCTAAGGACCACATGCGGCCCTTTGATATTTGAAGTGTGGCCCTTGGGCTCCAGTAGTCAGAAGAGAGAGTACTGATTTGTAAAGGGTCCCTAGTAGGAAAGTCTAGTAGGTTAATGCAACATGCCCCTAGTCTCTGTCTGTCTCCTATAGCTTGACTTTAGCCTACAACCACTCCTGCAAAACAATCTCTGACCATTTCCTCTAGTAAGTTTTCAGTCTGTGAGAGTTTTATGAAGCACTACATATAATAAATGTAATATAAGACCCTTTGGAAACATTAGGGGCCACATTTGAGGCCCCCATTGAGGCAACCTCTGCTATATGAGAATATAATGCATATGTGGCTCCACACAAATGCTGCTGGACTGACATAAACAGTGTGTGTTTCTCCACTGGAAGTTCAGGGAAGTAGCGCCGAAACATACAGTATACTGTGTGGAGATTGGGAAAACAGCATAAGTGTATGTTTTGGTGGCAAATTAACATCACTATACTTTCTGTAAAATCCTAGGGAAATGCTGGCTCCCAAGGTTTTGCAAGAAAGCGCTCTTACAATTTGCTGGGGCATAATGTTATGAGATTTTGTGAACTCGGCATTTCTTTGCATATCCCTAGAAAGTCATCCCTGAGAAGCTTGGGGGAAGGCAAGTATATTTGTTTTTTATTTTGTATTTTTTCAGGACTGGTGATTTTTTTTACTTTACATTAATGCTGCTATTATTGATAGTGGAGGGGGTCCTAATATATATTAAAGTGGTTGTAAACCTCAGACATGAACAAAGCATATCTTTCTATAGTGTGTACTTGTCTCAATCCAGAGCATGGAATGTCATTTCTGTCTGCTTCTTTGTTCCTTTGCTATCAGCATGAATCATGTCTGACAAGTTTTCCTGACACCATGCGAAAAATGGTCATGGGGAGGAACCTTCAGCAGATTTACAGCCTCAGCTCTGTTCCTGTGAGCTTTGTGATAGTAGGTATGTCTCTTCTGTCCAATCAGCTCTCAGAGCTCTCCTCACTGAGGTCTGCAATTTGTAATTTCAGCTCTCTGTCCCCTTTTTTCTGAACTCTTAGACAAGCTTTATAAATTCAGCACTTTGAACGGCTGTAGAGAAGAGAATACGGCAGATAAACAGGTACAACTTATGTAGGAGGATTTGTTTCATCTCAGGTGTGTATCACCTGAGGTTAGTCACTTCACTGGGTATATGTAAGGGTTTACAACTACTTTAAGCAGATCCTACATTTTTCTGCAGAATCACTTTAAATACAGAGTAAAAGATGGCCAACTGCAGGTTTAAGGCAGGATATACCTGTACATTATGCAACGATCTTTCCTTCATCCATGGGTTGAAGGAAATAAAAGTGCTCTACACTAACTGTGTTGATGGGGGAATCCCTCCTGCTACACTATCGTATTTTGACAGTGGGAGGTTTCCCTGCCGTCAGTATCAAATGATCACTGCTTGTGGCTATTGCTGCCAGCAGTGATTGAACAAAAAAAAACAACAACAAAAAAAAAAACCTCAGGCCAGTTGTATTGAAATCAACCAATAGATCTACTTCAGTACAACCAGCCTGCTTATAATTGGATTGAAAATTGACCGGTTCCTGCTGCACTGGCTGCATGTATATCCATCTATTGGCAGCTTAATGCATCTGTCAATGAACTGTTACGTTTGTCTTACAAAACATTCTTGTAATAATTCCAGAATTCCAGAAATAAGATTTAGAGAGAGGGGGCAGAACGCTGAGCATATCACCCCCTGCCTTTATAGTACAGTGCTTTGATGTACCAAACAGTGGGCAATGATATCATCAGTGTACTTCTGCCCTTCCATTGTCAAATCACAGGACTGAACAGGTCCTTGACAGAGGACTCTGCTTATCTGCAGTGTAATCTACAGAAAGATCATGAAGATGGCAGGATCTGACTGCACTGCTGGCTGGGTGCCTGGATTACAAGACTGGCTGAACAGAATTACAAATCCTCAGTCATGTGTGGTTTGGTTGATATAAAACCAATCAGATTTAAACTGCTTCCTGACTGCCCTATAGCAGAATTACTGCTACAGAGCGGCAGAGCTGTGCAAAATCACGTATATATACGTGAATTCGCTTTTCCGGGTAAGGGATGCTTACTACCATCAGCAGCTACAGCTGTCGATCACCGGGTCCTGGCTGAAGATTCCCCGCTGGCACCCAGCGATCACCGAGGAACACTGACAGGGGAGAGGTCTGTATGTAAACAACACAGATCTCTCCCCTCTCAGCACCAGCATGCTGCTTTGTATTGCTCTGCACAGCAGAGCAATACAAAGTAGCATGTTTACATAGTAAAACACACACAGCACACATAGTACAACAACACACAGCACACAGTTAACCCATTGATTGTCCCAGATGTTAACCCCTTCCTGCCCAGTGTCATTAGTACAGTGTCAGTGCTTTTTATTCGCACTGATCACTGTGTTAGTGTTACTGGTTATGTCAGTGGCAGTTAGTCAGTTCCTCCCCCCCAGTGTCAGAATGCCCGCCGCAGTCCCGCTATAAGTAGCTGATCACCACCATTGTATCTATAAATTAGTGAAGCTCTATAAATTATATATATACCATAGTGCCATTAATAACTCATAGTGCTGTGATAACAAGCTAATAAATTCCAAAAAAATATATATAATAGGTGACAAACAAATTAATAAGTGATAAATATATCTTGTGTATCCAAAATAATTCATAAATCCAGTTATTAAGCTGATAGCCGTGAATCACACAAATAAATCATCCGTGTAAACATAAAAAAACAAACAAGTCCATGCAGGTGTAACTTGTGATTTATAGATACATTATTTGATCACTTATTGGTTTAAGTCGAGTGACAGCAGCTTTTAATATAGGGACTCCATCTATATAAAGCGCAGGAGGATACCTCCAATCATGATCACCGCCATTACTAGTATAAAAAGAAATAAATAAAAAAATAAAAATTCCCGTCTCTATACGCTATAACTTTCACGTAAACCAATTCATTTACACGTATTGGGATTATTTTTTTTTTTTTTTAGCAAAGACAGAATACATTTTGGCCTAACTTTATGACAAAATTTTATTTTATTTTTATTTTTTACTGCATAGGTTTTAAAAATATCAAAAATAGTTTTTTTTTTCAAAATTGTCTTTTTTTGTTAATAGCGAAAAAAAAAAAAAAAAAACGCACAGGAGATCAAATACCACCGAAAAAAAGCTCAATTTGTGTGAAAAAAAGGACATAAATTTAATTTGGGTGCAGCGTTGTATGACCGCGCAATTGTCATTTAAAGTAACACAGCGCAGTATTGCAAAAAATGGTCTGGTCAGGAAGGGGGGGTTGGTAAATCCTCTGGAGGGCAAGTGGTTGATGTAGGTAAATGACTTACCTTTGTTGCAGTTGGTAACAGATATAGTCAGAAGCAGCAGCAGAGCCCCCAGAATGTGAGGGGCAGACATCTCCCCACCTACAAGAAAACACAGCCTGAAATGAATATGTGCTTCCATTTACACTGAAATAAAGCTGGAGTCTAGGTATAAAGAGCTCTTATCCAAGCATATGTGGGGGAATTTAAATGTACCTCAAAGTTATAGAATACCTTATAGGACACATATACAGTACATCTTAAAATCCAAGAATTTCTGATTAGTTGATTGTACAACTCCTAGAATATACAGTGAAAACATCGCAGAATTGCTTGTGCCAACACAAGTTTAATAATGGTGTGTAGATCCAAGCCCAAAACTTGATGTGTTTCATGGATAATTTGACACTTCCTCACAATTGGTGATTGGTGATGATACGTACTGTAATTAAAAGTTATTATTATTATTATACAGGATTTATATAGCACCAACAGTTTGCTCAGCGCTTTACAATATAACGGGAGACAATACAGTAACAATACAGTTCAATACAAGAGGGAAAGTAGGGCCCTGATCCTGGGAGCTTACAATCTAGGGGGGAAGTTCTATAGATTGATCTGCTTATATTTTGCCTTCCCTGGTTCCTCCTTTCCCCCCTTATTAACATGCTCAAAAAAACTTTTGCTTTCATTAAATACCTTATATTAGGCCCAGTGATATCATCACTGTGTCACTGTACTTCTCTATGCAATGCAGGCAGTAATGGGTGGTTAGAGGGGCCAGCATGGTATTCTACAGAGCTTCTTGAAAACATTATAGCACCATGTCTCGGTACTCCTCTCAAGAGCCCTCAACTCTGACACAAGTAGTGGGCTGGCTGTTAGGAGGAGTTACGGAAATATTAAAATGCCTTGATGAGTGAATGTTAGTCTGCAGGAGTGGAGGTTACAAGGCTAGCCTTGTTAATGCCTACACGTGATGCCGAGTCCCCATGATTGAGAAAACTGAAATAAAAAAAATTAAAGGGATGGGCTAGGGACAGTACAACTGGGAAGGAAAGGACTAGATGATACTGGACATCTTTCTGCTGGTAAATGGGTTGGGCTCTGTCTGACTTTCTAATGTACACTTAGAGGCAGGGGGTGCACTGTCAGAGGTGTTGAGTGGCAGCAGGTACATTGTCAGTGGTGTTGGGTGACACAGGGGAGCATGTCAGGGGTGTTGGGTAGCTAGGGGAACATTGTCAGGGTGTTGGATGTCAGGGGGGTGCACTGTCAGGGGTGTTGGGTGGCAGGGGGTGCATTGTCAGAGGTGTTGACTGGCAGGGGGGTGCATTGTCAGAGGTGTTGGGTGGCAGGGGCTGCTTTGTCAGGGGTGTTGGGCGGCGGTGGCTGCATTGTCAGGGGTGTTGGGTGGCGGTGGCTGCATTGTCAGGGGTGTTGGGTGGCGGTGGCTGCATTGTCAGGGGTGTTGGGTGGCAGAGGGTGCATTGTCAGGGGTGTTGGGTGGCAGAGGGTGCATTGTCAGGGGTGTTGGGTGGCAGTGGCTGCATTGTCAGGGGTGTTGGGTGGCAGAGGGTGCATTGTCAGGGGTGTTGGGTGGCAGGAGCTATATTATCAGAGGTGTTGGGTGGCACGAGGTGCATAGTTAGGGGTGTTGGGTGGCAGGGGGTGCATAGTCAGGGGTGTTGGATGGTGGGGGGGGGGGGTGTATTGTCAGGGGTGTTGGGTGACAGGGGGGTATATTTTTAAGGGTTGTTTGGTGGTGGGTCTGCATTGTCAGGGGTGTTGGGTGGCGGGGTCTGCATTGTCAGGGGTGTTGGGTGGCAGGGGCTGCATTGTCAGGGGTGTTGGGTGGCAGGGGGTGCATTGTCAGGGGTGTTGGGTGGCGGTGGCTGCATTGTCAGGGGTGTTGGGTGGCAGAGGGTGCATTGTCAGGGGTGTTGGGTGGCAGTGGCTGCATTGTCAGGGGTGTTGGGTGGCAGAGGGTGCATTGTCAGGGGTGTTGGGTGGCAGGAGCTATATTATCAGAGGTGTTGGGTGGCAGGAGGTGCATAGTTAGGGGTGTTGGGTGGCAGGGGGTGCATAGTCTGGGGTGTTGGATGGTGGGGTGTATTGTCAGGGGTGTTGGGTGACAGGGGGGGGGGTATTTTTAAGGGTTGTTTGGTGGCGGGTCTGCATTGTCAGGGGTGTTGGGTGGCGGGGTCTGCATTGTTAGGGGTGTTGGGTGGCGGGGTCTGCATTATCAGGGGTGTTGGGTGGCGGGGTCTGCATAGTCATGGTGTTGGGTGGTGCATTGTCAGGTGTGTTTGGTGGCAGAGGGTGCATTGTCAGGGGTGTTGGGTGGTAGGGTCTGCATTGTTAGGGGTGTTGGGTGGCGGGGTCTGCATTGTTAGGGGTTGGGTGGCGGGGTCTGCATTGTTAGGGATGTTGGGGTCTGCATTGTTAGGGGTGTGTGGGTGGCGGGGTCTGCATTGTCATGGGTGTTGGGTGGCAGGGGGGTGCATTGTCAGGTGTGTTTTGGTGGCAGGGGGTGCATTGTCAGGGGTGTTGGGTGGCAGGGCTGCATTGTCAGGGGTGTTGGGTGGCGGGGGCTGCATTGTCAGGGGTGTTGGGTGGCGGGGGCTGCATTGTCAGGGGTGTTGAGTGGCGGGGGCTGCATTGTCAGGGGTGTTGGGTGGTGGTGGTGGGGTGTATTCTCAGGGGTGTTGGGTGGTGCATTGTCAGTGGTGTTGGGAGGTGCATTCTCAGGGTGGTGGGTGGTGGCGGGGTGTGCATTCTCAGGGGTGGTGGGTGGTGGCGGTGGGTGCATTGTCAGGGGTGTTGGGTGGCAGGGGCTGTCAGATGCATGCATTGAGGTAATGTGTAAAATGCACATTCTAATACGCAAAGAGTTGGGTCAGATTGTAATATGTTGGATTTTTGCTAATGCCGTATTTATGTTTTCCAGAAAGCAGCTGATAATGACAACTTTCATGATCTGGGTTGTCAGTGAAAACTGTTCTGTATAACACATATAACACACTATGATCAGTATGAATAGTTCTTTCCCTTTTTGATAGTTGTATGTGCAAGAAGACCACACCCACTTTATACTGCAGTATGATTTGCATGTCACTCTCTTATCATGCTCCAAATATTGTTTCCAGGTGCACATTTAGTACACCTGTCCTAAAACGACATAAAAAACAAACCATTTTTCAGTTTTGGATTGGATAGAGTAGGGAGGGATTAGAACCCCTGCCAGGTTTGTATTGCTGTGTGTGTCCCCCCATTGGGGAAATTCACTCTCATTGTTTGTCCTTGTAATCATTGTCAAGTTATTCAACAAGAGGATGTAATTTGAAATCCAAAATGTTACTATTGTCTATGAGAGAGTTCCCCCTTACTTTGGAAATAATTCCTTTCACTTCCCGTTGTATCTCTGGGAAAGGAATTTAAAGGATAGCTCCTCAGTGGGACACAGACAGCCAAAAAAAACCCCAACAGGGCTATTGACCTTTCCCTACCCCCTACATGGTTTCATATACAGTATACATTAAGAGGTCTATTTGTAATGGTTTTCACCCAAGATTCACACAATTTTCACCAGATTCACATATTTTTAAAAATTGTATTCCATTTGGAAAGTGTGTGAATAATGGGTGAAAGTTGTGTGACTTGTGGATGAAAACATTTGTAAATGACAGTTTAAATGACAACATTACATACAGTTTATTTCTTGTGATTGTCCAAGAACCATCTAACATCTCTCACCAGCTTTAGAGAAAACAAACTCTTTGATTATAAGCACATTCTAGGGAATTAACAAATTTCCCTGTGTCATTATAATGGAGCAGGAAACTGTTGGGAGTGGTGTGCTTCACACTGAAGTGGTTATAAAGGTTATATACACTAAATTGCCAAAAGTATTGGGACGCCTGCCTTTCCACGCATATGAACTTTAATATGAACTTCCCAGTCTTAGTCTGTAGGGTTCAATATTGAGTTGGCCCACCCTTTGCAGCTATAACAGCTTCAACTCTTCTGGGAAAGCTGTCCACAAGGTTTAGGAGGGTGTCTATGGGAATGTTTGACCATTCTTCCAGAAGCACATTTGGGAGGTCAGGCTCTGATGTCAGACTAGTAGGCCTGGCTTGTAGTCTCCGCTCTAATTCATCTCAAAGGTGTTCTATCAGGTTGAAGTCAGGACTCTGTGCAGGACAGTCAAGTTCCTCCACTCCAAACTCGATCATCCATGTCTTTATGGACCTTGCTTTGTGCACTGGTGCGCAGTCATGTTGGAAGAGGAAGGGGCCATCCCCAAACTATTCCCACAAAGTTTGGGGCAAGAAATTGTCCAAAATGTCTTGGTATGCTGACGCCTTAAGAGTTCCCTTCACTGGAACAAAGGGGCCAAGCCCAACCCCTGAAAAACAACCCCACACCATAACTCCTCCTCCACCAAATTTTACACTTGGCACAATGCAGTCACTCAAGTACCGTTCTCTTGGCAACCGCCAAACCCAGGCACATCCATCAGATTGCCAGACAGAGAAACGTGATTCGTCCTTCCAGAGAACATGTCTCCACTGCCCTGGAGTCCAGTGGCGGTGTGCTTTACACCACTGCATCCGACACTTTGCATTGCACTTGGTGATGTAAGGTTTGGATGCAGCTTCTCGGCCATGGAAACCCATTCCATGAAGCTCTCTATGCACTGTTGTGCTAATCTGAAGGCCACATGAAGTTTGGAGATCTTAAGCTATTGACTCTGTAGACAGTTGGCGAGTTCTGTGCACTTCAGCATGCGCTGACCCTGCTCTGTCATTTTACGTGGCCTGCCACTTCGTGGTTGAGTTGCTGTTGTTCCCAGTTGCTTCCACTTTGTTATAATACCACTAACAGTTGACTGTGGAATATTTAGTAGCAAGTAAATTTCATGGATGGACTTATTACACAGGTGGCAACCTATCACGGTACCACGCTTGAATTCACTCTCCTGAGAGCGACCCATTCTTTCACAAATGTTTGTAGAAACAGTCTGCATGCCTAGGTGCTTGATTTTATACAAACATACATACACATATACCCAATTAACAGAGATCCAGCTCTCCATACACAGACATACTAGGGCCAATTTAGACAGGAGCCAATTAACTTACCAGCATGTCTTTGGAGTGTGGGAGGAAACTGGAGTACCTGGAGAAAACCCATGCAGGCACAGGGAGACCATGCAAACTCCACGCAGGTAGGGCCATGGTTGGGATTCGAACCAACGACCCTAGTACTGTCATGCAGAAGTGCTAACCATTTAGCCACTATGCTGCCCTAATAAATAAATAAAATATATTTATTGCAGTGAAAAACAATTGGCAAATTACACAGTTAAAAGAACTCGCTCATCTATACACAACTTTTAACTGTTTATGTAATTTGCCAATTGTCTTTCACTCCAATAAATACTTTTTATATTACACTTAGATTGTGCTCTTTCCCCTGTCTATCTAGGTTTTTCTTTATGTCCATGTCCCTGTTGCAGATTTTTCCTTACTTCCTGTCTGGTGAAACCATTGTCAAAGGACAGGAAATGAGGGTAAATTCACTGAGCAGTAAAAGAGTTCTACTCCATTCTCTCCAAAATTATATTAAAATTTATTGGCGTGAGATACAATTTTACAAGTCTCTGCCATGTTACCTAGAATTATCAACAAACTTTCAGAAAAAAAAAATATGACAATAAGTGTGTCAGAGTCTTTACATAAAGATGAGATTTCCAGCTGCTAACACAATGACTCATTGGCTGCATGAGTTCAGTGCTGGCTGGGGCCCCTATTATCTTTGTGAATAACCCCATTGTTTGTGTCAGTTGGAATAAAGGAAGGTATATTTCCTGAATTAATTTCAGATTTTTCAAATGAGGTTTTTTTTGTACTGGTTAAACCATTTAAAGGAAGAAATCTAATAAAATCACATGCATCTAGTCTATCTAATCCAATTTATGGATAATTGGTGTTGGAGCTTGAGAAAAGGAAGTTATGACATACAAAAGAGAATTATTTGCCTCAGTGGTTTCTGAGGAGAATTAAAGTAGAACTAAAAGGCAAAACTTTTTTTTTTTAGTTTTGGATGGAAGCTAATAAGCGAAAAAGCGTCAACCTTTGGAGGTTACAATGCAATAGAAGACAATGCCGTTACTATTTGGGCTGGTAAGCCATGTATTGTTTTTAAATGTCATTGTAAAATGTATCTCAAATAAATATGTAAATCTATTAATACGAGTTTGTCCGTGACCAGTAAAGTCCCATTAAGTTCCTTTTTTTCTTTTTTTTATATGAGGTACATATGCAGTCTATAACATAGTTTGGGATGCAGTGGAGATGGATTAGAACACCTGTCAATATTTACTGCTGTCTGTGCTCCTGTTTAAGGAGATTCATCCCTCTCTATTTGTCCTATTTACCATTAAAAGTGAAAGTAAAAGAAAACCCAAAATTTTGGATTGTCTCCAGCAAAGTAATAGAGGGGACATTTTCCAATGGGAACACTAGTTCTGGTGACCTGGGGGTCCCCAGGAAATTCCCTTAATTTGCAAGGATTTTCCCTCACTTCCTGTTTGGGCTATGGGACAGGAAGTGAAGGTAAATCTCCCCAATATGAGATATGTCAAAAATTAAACTGACAGGGATTATAACCCTCCCTTAAACTATCTAAAGTGATAAAAAAAGGTTTTCCTATTGTTTTACTTTAAGTGTACCTGAACTTTGCTAAGAGTAGGCAAAGTAACAGATTATACCAGTCATGGTCAGCATGTTTTATTACATTCCCTTTAATCCAATGTTCTGGCCTGCCACCAGAAGCACAAAAAATATCTGGCACTTCAGGATATGGGAGAACACTTAGCACTCCCTTTGCCTCCCACAATACAATGACGGGGCTACAATGGCCAATCAGAAGGCTCAAGTGATGTCACATGATCATGGCAGACAGAATGATTAGCCCTGAGCAAGATCTGATTTTCTCAAGAAGCCAAAATTTACATATGGGTTGCAATGGCTCAGAGAGCAGATTGGGGCAGAAGACATAGGTTCACTTTAACAGAAAAAAAAAACTACTGCCATATTGTATAAAAACACAAAACAAAAAAAAACAAAACAGTAGATTGGTGGACCTCTATTTCTGAAGTGCCGTTTATAGACATCTATTATATCATGCAGGTGTGGTGAACTTTCTGAAAACGCACCAGGAGTTATGTTGAACTTTCAGAAAGTGCACCAAACCTGCAGGATATAATAGAAGTCTATGACTAAGTGCAGCAAACCTGCAGGTAAGCTGCAGGTACACTGCACTGCACCCTGCGGTGTGGGTAAACCGCAGCACATCAGTGTGAAAGCAGCCCTATACTATTATGCCCAGTGTGTTGCCTCAAACTGACCAGAAGATCTCTTCTTTCCTGCTGCACCACTCTGGAGACCGGTGGCTGGGATAAGAGGTGGAGTGCAGTTGGTATCACTCCGCATGGGCAGGAGCCAGCGCTACAGAGGAGGCATTGGCTTATGCAACTCTTGCTCCCTACTACAGCTCTAACTTTAGTAGTCCCTCTGGATTGCACTCTGTTTGATTCTCTGGGATGGCGGGTGCCAGCAAGCCTAGACTGCGATCTATCAGTCACCTGACCGTAATCTACTAGTAGATTGCGATCTACAGGTTGCTGACCTCCACACTAGGCATATCCTTAAATTGCACTAATTGTAACACTTTAAGCAGATTTGTTTTGCTACCTCCGGTGGCTCCTCTGCTCTAAGAGCATTTAGAACATGTCTGGAATGACCCTCTAGTAGTGTGGATCTTGAATATGTTTCTGCATCCTGTGCCAGTGGGAATATGTTCTAACAGTAGAAGTCTTCAGTCTCTAAGCTGATGGCCATTATGGAGCTCCTTAGGCAAAATTAGTCAGCCACGTCAGCATGGTACTATTCTTTTAGTAGACCACATAGCAGGTAGTATGTGAAGCAGTGGCACAAATTCTACGTTTCAGAAGCTCCTAGATGACTGCCACCAATCAGTAGGTAGATGAGTGGCAGTTCCTAAGAGTTTGTGTGCGGAAGGAGATAGGATGGGGGCTTTGTAGATAAGGTAAAGTCAACCCTCAAGTAGACTACCCTTTGAGTCCAACAAGCTCTTAAATGTACACTGCTCAAAAAAATTAAAGGAACACTTTTTAATTAGGAGTATAGCCACCAGGTTGCACCTCCGACTGTCCAGGAGCTCAGTGATGCCCTGGTCCAGATCTGAGAGGAAATACCCCAGGACACCATCTGTCTTCTCATTAGGAGCATGTCCCGTCGTTGTCAAGCATACATACATGCACGCAGGGGCCATACAAATTACTGACTACCATTCTGAGTTGCTGCAATGAAATTTCAGCAGAAATGGACTAGCCTGCTGCATAATTTTTTCACTTTGATTTTTGGGGTGTCTTTGAATTCAGTCCTCTGTAAGTTAATAATTTTCATTTCCATCAAATGATGGGGCATCCTTACGTTCCTAACACAGTACCCAGTCCATATCAGTATAGATATCTAGCATGATATTTTCCCCCCATTGAGATCTGATGTGTTTTCAAAGTGTTCCTTTAATTTTTTTGAGTAGTGTATTTATTAACAGAAAGCAAGAAGAATTAGCTGGACAAATTTACTGACTCAAAATTGATAAGGTTTAAGGACAATGAGTCACAGGAAGTAGATGGGACCCAAGAGGTGATGCTGTCTAGGAACTAAAATGGTAGTTCAGTGGCAGTATATTTGCAGCCGTTCAAAACTACAGGGTACAAGAGGATACAATAAATAAGAATTTGGTGGCTTGCAAATATTTGCATATAAACTTGAGTAGACACCATTGGCAGATGCACATCTTAATCCTCTCTTTCAGATTGCTAATTCATCTCATACCTGCTCAAGGGAGCCAATGAGAATTGCAGCATCCAATTCTGTTGGACACTGCAGGCACCAATCATCGGCAGCAATTCAAATGTATTGCTATGCTTTTGTGTCTCTTAGGTTATTTAGCACAATACATTCTATTTGTTCAGGTGTTTGTGGTAGGTTAGATAAGTTTTTGTGTCTTTGTTTACTTGGATTCATGTTACTAATATTTTTAGGCAGGTAGAACAGTCCAACGGTATGTGTTTCAGCTTTGTATTTAGCAGTTTTGCATAAGTTTCCATTACAAGGATGAATAGCTGACATGATCTGTAGAAAATAGCAGATACAAAAGTTGGTGGAAATATAATCTGTGTTGCTTGCAAAAGCCAGTGAGAACCTTGCTTTGATTTTCTTACCCACTGCACAGCTTGATTGCATGTTATATGAAAAGACATTTTTCTTTCCTCAGTTTTCTCATGATTTTTATGCTTTTCACATGCCCATCCCATTTGTGAATTAAAAGTTAGATATTTGAGATTAAACTATAAAATAAAGAAATGCTATTATACAAATTGTCACAAAGTAAAATAAAGAAAAAAAAAAACTTTAAGGGGTTAATTGGCATTCTACATGAAATCATTTGGCTGCCCTTGGTTACCCTTTCTACTTGTTTAATGTAAGCAAAGGCAGGTAGGTGTAATGTGTTTCTTTCTTTTCTTTTTTTGCAGTATTTTTCTATGCTGTCCATTCTTTTTCTCTTCTTATGTTTTTATAATAGATCTTAAGGAATTTTTAAGGAGGCTATCGGAGGCACAATTATGAAAGCGTTGATTTTAAAGGGGCTTTAATAACTGCAATGTGTCTCTAGTTTATGACTGTCTCTTCATACATGTCCCAAGCCTTCAACAACTCCTATAGTATGTAGGGTCATGTATGGTCTCTAACCATCTCTCATCAGAAATCTCTGACCATCTCCTACTGCATTTCTGTAAAGTTGTATAGCTTTACATTTACCAAATATTCTGTGCTGTCCTTTGGAGCCTTTGGTGTCAGGAGCTTCACTTGAGGTCCTCTATATCAAGTAAGTTGACCACCAATGATGGTCACCATTGATGACTAGTATAAAGCAGTGCCTGAGGGCGCAATGCTGCTGGCTCTTTATAGGAACGTG